TATCTATCTATCTATCTATCTATCTATCTATCTATCTATCTATCTATGGCATATCTGAGGAAAACTCGAATCTGAGATTTCTGGGTTTTCCCTAGCCCAAAGAGAATCCAAAATCCAACCCCTGCACCCTAAATAGTTCATCACATGGTCCAATCGTTACTTAGTTCCAACTGAAGACTATCCCCAGGCACTCCCCTCCAGGTGCAGGGTAACATGTCCTTGACTCTCTGAGAAAAGGATGCTGTTGTGGCTATTCTTCCATCGCTCCTTGAAATCCCCCTCCCAAATTTCCAGGCACTGAATGTGGCAGCCCAGAAGCCTCAAAGAAAAATGGCTTCCAAGCTGACAGGCTTCCCCCCTTCCAGCGAGAATCACGTCCTGGAATGAGAAACAATCAGGGAGATAGTTCAACCTGCATGTAGTTAACCATTAGGCAGGAATGCCAGTTAGGTGACGGGGGAATTGAACCAGTCCAAAAAGTGATTCTGGGCAACTTGCATCGTTCCACCATTTCTGTTACCCAGTTGTGGGTGAAACTTTCTCTTCAAGAAGATTGTTAGAGACAATTTTAGGCTTAGACAACTTAGAACTACTCCACCTTCGGTCCGACCTAAGCATAGTACGTAAAATTATCTTTTGCAACGTCCTACCCGTCAATGACTACTTCAGCTTCAACCACAACAATACAAGAGCACACAACAGATGCAAACTCAAGGTAAAATGCTCCAAACTCGATTGCAGGAAATACGACTTCAGCAACAGAGTGGCCAATGCCTCAAATACACCCCCTGACTCTGTGGTCTCTTTCCCAAACTCCCAAACCCTTTAACCTTAGATTGTCTACTGTGGACCTCACCCCGTTCCTAAGAGGTCTATAAAGGGGCATGCAGAAGCGCACCGGTGCCCCTAACGTCCCCTTTTATTCGTATCCATTTCATGTATTGATAATCATGTTTCTACTTATATCTGTTATCTAACACGTCCTTGACAAAATAAATTAAAGGAATAAAAAGAAGTCCTTCAAAAGCCAGGAAGAACAAAGGCGCCAGCCGTCTATTCCACCCTCCCTCCCTTGTCAATTCCTTTACTTATTAGTTTCTCAGACGGGACTCCGCTCGCCCACAAGTTCCCAGAGCAATTTCAAGTGAACGTAACGTCCGAGATTCCACCTAATTTTTGAAACTTGCAATAGGACACGTTCCTCTCTGGCCAGCCAGGTTATATAGGTCCCAGAAGGGTTAGCAGCAGCAGCAGAAGAAGAGAGGTGGTGTCACTTCAGAGGAGTCAACCAGAGACCATCAAGCGGAGGAACAAGTGAGTGACTTTCCAAGTTAACTATCTTTGAGGGAGCAAATTCTCTTCCCTTGTTTCACATCACCTTGCTAAAAGAAGCAGAGATTGGGTGTCCTTCAGCCACCTGCCCAGGTTGGCTTGCTGAGATCTTAGACATCTCCAAGAAAAACAGCCAAGCTCAGAGAAGACCCAGGACCCCACAATTCTCCTTCCCCTTTCTGCAACCTCCCTCCCTCCCAGCATTGATGATGTTATCTAGTTGGGGTCATGAAATGTCTGGCAGAAACCCACCCCACCTCAGAGGGTGCCAAGGACCCACACTTCAACCCCAAGCTATTCCCTTCTACTGGTTTATCTGTCCTGCCCACCAGGGACTTACTACTTAGAAATGGGTAGTGGTGGGGTTAGTGCCACCTCCCCTGGGTGACCCCCAAATAAATGGAAAGAGGAAATAAACCGCACCAGTGGTGGGATTCAAATAATTTAACACCCGGTTTTCTGCCCTAATGATTTCTTACGACCACCAGTTCACCAAACTGCTCAGAAAGTTAACAACCGGTTCTTTTGAACTGGTGCGAATCGGCTGAATCCCACCACTGGTGTTCACCCATTTCCTTTGGTTACATCAACGATAGAATATTCACCAAACATCCAGGTTTTAAGGGGAATGAATCAATTGAGCTGACACCCAGGGTTTATTTGGCAAGTGCCCCACTATTAAGCACCTGAAGGGTGGTGACAGTTTCCAATGCGGCAATGTCGGTAGTCCTTAACTTACAACCGTTCACTTAATATGCTTTGAAACAATGGCCTCAGAAAAATTGCCTTGAAGTTATGACCATTGAACTACACCCCCCCCCTCCTCCAGGCACATGAGTCCAATTCAGGGCAACCTGGCTCACATTTACGACTAGCCCAATGTCTTGCAGTCACGTTATCACAATCTGTGGCCTTCTTATCTGGCTTTCAACAAGCAAAGTCCACTGAGGAAGCCAGATTTGCTTAACGATAACAGTAAAAATGTCTGTAAAATCAGATCCGGTCATACAATGGCTTGCTTACCGACTGCACCCCTTAGTGACTGAAATTGGTGTCTCTGTTATGGCCATAAGTTGAGGACTACCTGTAAATTATTGTAATTCAAATGGAGATGTCAGTCGATCTACTTGGATATGGCTCTCACAGGAGAGTCCAGCAGCCGTTCCTGTTTAAGTCGAAGCAAACATCTACAAAGGGTGTAGGGTCAGACTAGAGGACCTCCAAGGTCCCTTCCAACTCTGTGACGCTGTTAAATTGGCTTGTAATTGGTTTATTCAGAGGTGTGGCTGAAAATATCATTTCTCCTCCTAAAATTCATTTTCTCTTTCTCTTTTGCTTCCTGCAGATGGAGGCCCTCTCAACTTTCCGTCTCTTCTTAGGTGGCTTTCTGCTGGCCGTCTCTCTTCCACTAGGTAGGTCCTTCTGCCCACGTCCCCGAATTCTGGCAGAATTCGTCAGTGTGGAAGCCAGATTCACTTAACAACAGGGTTACTAACTTAACAAATTGCAAGAAAGATCGTAACATAGGGCAAAACTTACCTTAACAAGTGTCTCGCTTAGCAATGGAGAATTTAGGCTCAGTCGTGGCCGTAAGTCAAGGACTATCTGTTTTCTGTCATTGTATTATTCTGTATTATTCTGTCATTCTGTTATTCTACCATTCTATCACTCCCTTATTCTGCCCTTGTGTTATTCTGTCACTCTGTTATTCTGTTGTTATACATCCACAGTTTCATTGTACTTGTACAATGACAATAAACTACTTCTTCTTCTTCTTCTTCTTCTTCTTCTTCTTCTTCTTCTTCTTCTATTATTCTATCATTGTGTTATTCTCTCAGTCTGTTATTCTGTCATTGTGTTATTCTCAAGTCTGTTATTGTCATTTTGTTATTCTATCATTCCATCATTCTGTAATTGTTATTACCTTGTTATTCTGTCATTGTTATTCTATTATTCCATCATTCTGTCCTTGTGTTATTCTGTCACTCCATTATTCTGTTGTTGTTCTGTTATTCTGCCCTCGAGTTATTCTGTCACTCTGTTTTGCTATTACGCTTCTGTAGTTATTCTATCATTCTGCCCTTGAGATTTGAGTGTGTCTCTTCACAGCATCCGAGTGAGCTACCGTAAGCTAATCCTGGGAATGTGGGTAACCCCACCCTGAACATGGTCTGAGTGAGTTTCCTTCACTCTTTTGCTTCTTCATCAGCCCAGATCCCACTTTTTCTCCTCTGATAACAGGTGACGAAACCCCTGCATGCCCTAGAGGATGGAGGCAGCTCAAAGGATACTGCTATGGGTTCTTCAACCTCAACGTGAATTGGATGAGAGCGGAGGTAAGGAAACAGCCAAGCTGAACACAGGTGGGCACAGTTTCCAAAAACAGCTTAATCACAGGTACCGGTAGTCCTCGAGTCACAACTATTCAATATTTGTAGCTCGGAGTTGAAATAAGGGGTCCTTGATGGTCTCTGAGCTTGGTGGCTTTCTTGCAGATGTTGCATGACCCAACTAGGGAATGTCATCAGTGCGAGAAGGGACTGGGGTTTGCAGAGAGGAGGAGGAGGAGGAGGAGGAGGAGGAGGAGGAAGGAGAAGGGGGAGGAGAGGGAGGGGGAGGAATAATAATAATAATAATAATAATAATAATAATAATAGGAGGAGGAGGAGGAAGAAGAAGAGGAAGAAGAAGAAGAAGAAGAAGAAGAGGAGGAGGACAATGGGGTCCTTGGCACTCTTTGAGTTTTGTAGTTTACTTACAATCATTTCATGACCTAACTAGGGAACATCATCAGTGCTAGAAGAGAGTGGAGTTTATGGAGGAGAAGGAGGAGGAGGAGGAGGAGGTAGAGGAAGACAAGGACAAGGACTATGGAGTCCTTGGTGCTCTCTGAGCTTTATTGCTTTCTTGAAGAACTAGGTAACATCATCAGTGCTAGAAGGGAGCGGGGGCTTCACTCTCTGAGCTTGGTTGCTTCACCTACCCCAAAAGGGAATAGCAGGACAGGTACAATATGTACACCTAATTCCCACATGGAACCCTGCAGTCATCAACGGTGTGACAGAGGATTCTGGGACCGACACAGACACCTTCTGCCTCTTCCCACATAAGGGAGGAAGTGCTAATGGCAGACAGGAGGGAAAAATGCTCCCTTGACTCGCTGATACCACACGTGGCCTGCACTACTGAAAGGTCTCATGTCGGCCATGCTGGACCAGGCTTGGTCAGGAAGAGACAATGGCCATTTGGAAAACAGATGAAATTACAGAGAAGGCGAGATCAAACCAGGACTTCCTCTTTTTTTATATATATAAAAATTTTATTTGGGTTTTCACAAAACATAATACAAGTAAAATTTCGTTTTTTGAGAAGAGCATGGTCCCAAGCTGTTTTGTTTTTGTCCTTCTTTTAAGAGTTTTTGAGAATCCAGAAATCTTTATTATCCCTTTGACATTTTATTTTCAGCTTAAATTCTGTTAATGTCAAAGTGGATTTTTGCCGATTTCTTGCTTAAATCTCTTAGTTGTCAATATAGGGAAGAAAAGAAAAAAAAAAACCAAATCCTTTCCCTTCCCTCTCTCATTCGCCGCTTCAAAGTCTTCTTTGGGAGCAATGTTATTCTTTATAATTCAAATTCCAGGGTACCTTATATTGTTGCTTTTTCCGTTTGACCCAGTCAGCCAAAACTTTCTCTTCTTATCTTCCTCCTGCACATTCTTTTCTGGTCGAGTTCTTCTTTGTGGTGGCCATTTCTGACCACCGCTGCAACCGCCTTCGGGAAAGGGAGTAATGACCAGCTGGGGAGGAGAGATGCGACTCTCCTTGACCCTGCTGGCAGTCTCCCCCCTCTTCACCACCTCTACGGGGTGGCTTAGCCCTGAAACCAGCCAGCTCGGGGTGCTCCAGGGGCAAGCACAGATCAAAACTGCGCACGATCGCGGATTCCGGTCTGTTGTCAAAGAAGCTCAAACCGGAAGACATCAGGAGCTCCTCTTGATCCAAGTGATGTCTAGTCTTCCGGATCAGGGGTCCCCATTTTTTTCCAGATTTGCAAACAGCTGGGGAGGGTGGGGGGGAGGAGGAAATAGTTTGTTCTGACCCAGCTCTCCAAACATGACAAACCCTCTGAAGTGAACTCAAAGATTCCTTTAATTAGAGTGCCGGCAACCCCGGCAAAAAGTTTCTCCTTCACCGCAGACAACCAAGTCTGCCCATCCAGGAGATGAATAATTATCTGCCACATCTATTCATCTCTGCCCCCTGCCTCTTATCCCCAGAGCTCAGGTGGAGCTTTGCTAGCAGTGGTGGCTCTTCTGTCCTGAGGACCGGCCCATAGATTTCCACTGCTCTCCTCTCCTCTGCCTTCTGCACATCCACGCATCAGGCACTGGGCCCAGCTGTTCCTCCTCTTCCTCATCAGACACCTCCAGACCTGGGGGCTGTTGACTCGCCATCTGAGGGCTGATGAACGGCCCAGGCTCTGCCTCTGACTTTCTCTCTCTGGCAGCTCCGTTCCCTCTTCCCTCTTGGAGCTCCCAGGTTGCCTTGATGCCAACCCCGACTCCCACTCTGCCTCCTCCACCTCCTCTGATTCGGCTGTTGGAGGGGCTGGCCACTGAGAGTTCCACGTGAATGGCAGACATGCACACCTGCAAAGCTCCGATTGTGTGAGCAGTGGGCGCTCACGTGCACAAGAGTGCCCACGGCTTGTACAAATGGGGCTGTGTGCATGCATACCCACCGCTCATGTAGCCCGGTTCCGAATGGGCCATGACCCAGTACCGGGCTGTGGCCCGAGAGTTGGGGACCCCTGTTCTGTAGGGTCAAACCTCTTCTTCTTGGTCTCCCTCAGCTGGACTGCCAGTCGATACGGCCCAACAGCCACCTCGCTTCCATCGTCAATGAAGAGGAGACGCATCTACTGTCCAAGTACCTCTATGAAACCTACACTCAACGAAAATCCATCTGGATTGGGATGTATGAGAATAAAATCAGAACTCTAGAGGCGAGTGTGTGAATTCCTTTCTTCTCCTAGGGACAATTTGTCTTGCATGCTCTCCAGGTCAGGCCTGATATGGAGAAAGAGGCAGACTCCAGTTCTCTTTAAAATAACCCATTTCATTGGATCCAAGTCAAAGGGGACCCTCCCATGAGGCTGGGAAGGGACCCCGTATAATCTCCCAGGAGGTATTTACCAGAAGTTCCTCCACTTATGACCACAATTGAGCCCAGAATTTCTGTTGTTAAGTGAGACATGTGTTAAGTGAATGTTGCCAGGTCTTCCGGTACACTGATGTGGGCTTTGGAGGCTCTGGTGGTCGATTCCAAGGTGGAGGGTCTCATCCTTGGAAGTGGTGTGGTTAGTTGGCAGCAGGTGCAGATGGCTGAGGAGAGCGAGGACTCTGATGAGGGGCCAGGACCATCAGGGAGTAGACTGCTGCCTTCAGGGATTGTGGGGGCTGGCAGCAGCAATGAGGAGGTTCCTGAGGAGCCTGTGCCAAGTGCACATGCAAGAAGGATTACTCAGAGGAAAGAACAATTACAGCAGCACAGGTGACTCGGGAGTAAGGATGCAATGTAATGCCCCCCTCCCCCTTCCAGGGAATATAAGCCTGGTTTGAAAAAGCGTTCTTTGCAGAAAGCAAAGAAGCTCTGAAGTTCAACTTGTGGACATCTCAGTTTGTGTTTGGAGAATCTTGTAAATTAGTTCTTATCTCTGGGTTTTGGGCAGCGTTGATGAACAACTTGGCAAGGCTCTTTCTTATCAGAGCTAATTAGTGGAAAGCCTGTTATCTGTAAAGTAACAGCATTCGTTATTAAGCCTTAAAAGGTGGGGGCTGCTGCCTTTGTGTTTGCTCCGGTTGGGTCAGAACAGTAAGCCTGATAGCCCTATTCCTGACCCATCTGTTGTGTGCAGAGATGTCCACTGTGCGTGAGTAGAAATGTAGAGTCCTCCTCATGAGAAGGCATGGTTATCCTTTGCTCTGCTCTGACCAGGCCCAATTTGGGATCCTGAATGCTGTTATGGGTACCAGGATCCCAAAACAACAGGGACCAACTCAGGATCAGAAAGGTATCATAGAATTTGCCTTGACCCACTCTGACGTTTCTTTCCGACGTTCACTTTCTTCAGAAGAGGTACTTTGAGTGGACGGATCGGACCGCCATCAATTATACGTCCTGGGCACCAGGAGAACCGCTCCACGTAAAGAAACATTGTGCAGCCCTGAGCAAACCAGGTGAGCAGAAGATATTTTGCTATGTACACCTGGAAGCTGAAATCTCAGAGGGGAAGCTGGCATCATTCCAGGATAAGCCTTTGTTCCAGAGAAATCGTTTTGACAAGACAGGCTGAAGGGCCTTGTCTGTTCACACACAGGCACAAATTGGAAAGATTGTTGATGCAGCGTCAAAGTCTTTGATCAGGTGATGCTGGTGGGAAGCTCCCAGTCTAAACTAAATAGCCTCCATTTTAAGGCATCCAGCGAGGATAGGATTATAAAGCCCCTAGACAGCTAGCTGGCTGAGGTTGTAGTACTTCTATCACCTGTATCTCCCTTCCTCTCTCAATCTATCTATTTATTCATCCATCCATCCATTTATCTATCTATCTGTGTCTATCTACCTGCCTATCTATCATCTATGTC